TATAATTATAAGGGTATAGATCCAAGAGCATAGGTGTAAGCGTACACAGATAACGACATAGACATAAAAATACAATTTTCAACATTGAGGAAGGTCATTATAATAATAAATTAGTTAATTGTTTCTCTTCCTGTATAATTATTAATGAGTTTGATTATAATAAAAAGGTTTCGGAGATCTACTGTCTCCTTCTTCAGTTTAAGTTTTACTGTAAAAGGTAAAATGGATTTTTTCTTTTATATTTGCTGATCTGCCTATACATGTTTTTTTTCTTTCTTTTTCTTTTCTATTTACTAATAGTGGGGCGGAAAGACAGGATGGTAATACTGGACGATAAGGTTAAATGTTTTTATCTTCCGTTCTGCTATTAGTAAATAGAAAGGAAAAAGAAAGAAAAAAACATGTATAGGCAGATCAGCAAATATAAAAGAAAAATCCATTTTACCTTTTACAGTAAAATTTAAACTGAAGAAGGAGACAGTAGATCTCCGAAACGTTTTTATTATAATCAATTAATTAATAAATCATATTCTTAAAATTAAATTCTTATAATCAAAGTCATTAATAATTATACAGGAAGAGAAACAGTTAACTAATTTATTATTATAAAAATACAAGTGAACGGGTATAGGTATGACGGGATAGGTTTAAGAAAATAACTATGAAGGTATGCGTCTTAGGGTGTCGATTTAACTATAGAGAGGTACTAAAGTAGTTCAAAATATATACTTATAAAGGGTTAAATATAGGAATAAGAGTTTAGGCATAGAAATAAAGGATTTCGTATAGTTATAATTATAAGGATATCGAAATAGTAATAAGGGTTTCGGTACAGAAATAAGGGGTTAGAAATAGAAATAAGGAGTTAGATATAAGTATAAGGGATTAGACGTAGTCATAAGGAGTTAAGCATAGGAATAAGGGTTTAAGTATAGAAATAAAGAGTTAGATATAAGTATAAGAGGTTACATATAAATATAAGCTGTTAAGTATAGGTATATGGGTAAATATAGAAATAAAGTTGCAGGAGTAAGTAGATAAGGCTAATTGTATTCATGTAGAGGTCACTACGAAAGTCTTCCTACGAAACCTTATTTTCGATTCGGTAAAAAGGTTTTGTGGGAAACCTCTGCTAGAGGGTTGGTGTGGATTGGTATAAACAGCAAGCCCAAACTTACGCCTACACCTACAGTCACACCCACACCCACACCCACACCCAACACCCAACACCCACACCCACACACACCCACACACCCACACCCTCAGGGTCTGGGAAAGAGCATTGAGTCCAAATTTTCATCCTATATACTTCAAAACTCCTTCTATAGGGTGTAAGTGTGTAGATGTGGGTGTGGATCTTCTTCACATCGTCAACCACACCCACCCAAATCAAAAACTTAAAGTTTAACTAGTGCTCCGATATCTGGCATGGTACTCGATGATCTCTTGGAGGCTCTCTTAAGATTTCGATGGTCATAATGCGAAGCATTAGCAGTAAAATTAAATATTATGAGTACAAATCTTCATAATGAGAAGAATAATGAGTCTACTTCTTCTAGAGCCTTAACTGTTCGCTTAATATCATTGTGATCGTGTGGTAGCCAGCGTCGTTGAATAATTAATGCTTGATTATAATGTTGTGTAGCTTCTTTAAATTGTTGTTTACGATAATAACATATTCCCATCTGATACAAAGTTATACCCATGTCCGGATGTGTTTCTTCAAATTGATTTTGTTGCTTTTCGAAAATGTCTGTGTACTGTTTCAATGCTTGATCATATTGTTCTCTAAGACATAAAATATTAGACAGACATGTTAGAGTTCGTAATAAAGATGGATGTTTATCAGAGAATAATTTCTGTTTAATTTCTAATGCTTCTAAATAGAAATTGAATGCTTCATCGATATGATCTTGATCTTCATGAACGTTACCCAGACGATGTAAGCAGTTTGCAATTAATGGATGCTGATTGTTTTTGAAACTTTGATGTAATATTGTAAGAGCACGTGTGTGATAATCAAATGAATTCCTATAGTCGTTCTTACATCGATAAACGCAACCAATAGCATCCAGACTATGTGCTATAAGCGGATGATTTTCCAAAAGATTTTCCCGACGAATTTCAAGGGATAAAGTATAACATTCAAATGAAAGATCGTATAGACCTTGAGCATAATATACATTACCAATATCAATTTGACTATGACTAAATACTATATGTCCTTTCGGTAATGTTTGTTGACGAAGTTGAAGTGCTTTCAAACCAAAATCAATTGCTTTTTCATATTGTCCTTTATTACAATAAATATCACTAAGCGCTGCAAAACTACCTGCAATATGTGGATGATCAGATGGTAGCAATCTTTTTCTCATTTCAAGTGCTTGGATACGAAAACTTAACGCATTATTATATTCTCCTTGTTTACCATATACCCAACCAATACCATTAAGAATATCTGCCAAATCGGTATGATCATTAATTGGATGTAAAAATTTTTTTGCCATTTTTAAAGCATCTTGGAAAAAATTCATTGCATTTTTATATTGACCAATTTCTGTATTTATTGCACCAAGAAAAAATAAATTATCTGTTTTATCTAAGCTATCACATTTTTCATGTTGCATAGCATACACTTGTTGATAACTATATAAAGCTTTGCTGAGTTTACCTTCAAAATGTTGAGCTCTGGCAACATATTGATAGCAAGCTATTCGATCTTCATGATCAGTTGGTAAAGTTTCTAATAAAGATTTAAAATACATTTCTGATTTAGAATATTGTCCAATATCAATCAAAATATATCCAAAAACAATATTAACACTTGTTTCTTCTAATTGTTTCTTTTGATATTCAATATATTGCTCAATATGTTCTCGTCCTTCATCTGTTGCTTGTAAATTTATTTTCCATAAATTAATTTGCTCATCAAAATAAATATTATTTATTTTAAATACAGCTCCAATGCTAAATAAAACTTCTTTTTCATCTGGTACATGACTGAATAATTCAATTTTAGCAAAAATACAATGTTTTAAATTTGAATCAGTTTCAATTTCAAATAGAACACTATTATTACCTTGTGATGTGAACATTTTTGCTACAGCACAATCCATAGATGTTGAAAAAAAACCATTTGGTGATATTAAATTTCCAATATTATTACGTAATTTATTAATTTCTTCATTCGACATTGTTTGTCCTCTATATAATTTTATTTTATTATTATTCAATTGTTGTTTATAATATTCTTCTTTCAATTGTGCGCATAAATCCATAATATAAAATCGATATGTATACAAATCATCTGTATCTTCCGTTCTCAATGCTTTATTAACCAATCGATAAAGAAAACTTTCATCTGTATACCAACGAATTGCATCTGTTGATTCATATGTTTGTTCAAATAAATTAATTTTTTCTAACTGTTTAATATTATTATGATAATGTCTACGACATTTTTCTAACATATATTGTTTTGATTGTAATTTATTTGGCATTTTTGTTAACACATCTAAAAGTATTTGAAACCATAGAAATGATGCAGAATCTTCTGTTAAAAAACGTACAGACTGTTGATTTTCTGTTAATAAATTAAATTTTAATCTTGTTTGTTGTTTGCGACGCGTAACTAAACGAATATTTCGCTGTATAAGTTTTAGAATTTCTTCAACAGATTGTTCACACTCATTATTATTTTTAATGTGTATAACGGTTAGATTTTGAATTGAAGATAAATCCAATGATATTTCTTCATCTGATAGAAATAATAGAATATTTCCATAATGAGCAGTTTTAATAAATTCTAAACATTTAATTATATCATTGCCAAATAGAATAGAATCATTCTTGATTTCTCTTTTAATTACGTCATTATTTTTTAAACAACAAATCACTGTAATATTTTCATCATCATCTTCACTCTCAACATGATGTTTTTCAACAATCTGTGCCATAATATCGAGTTCTAAAACTTCGTGCCAATACCTGCTGTTAGTAAAAAAAAAATGAAGAGATGTTGAAGTTTTGTAATCGTAGAAATTCATAGTCTATTCCCAAAAGAGTACAAAAACAAATTTTTCTCTACTTAAAAATCAAGGTTTACATTTTTTTTGCTTTTTTTCGTGTTTAAAGACCACCTTTTCCACCGGTTGGAAATATTTTTATTGTTCTTCTAAGCATTTTCAATGAATGATGATTGTATCTATAAGATTTCTTACTTTCTTTTTTTTTCTTTCTTTCCTTTTTGTAATGAAGAAAAAACATTAGGGTTACAGAGTAACTCGATTTTCCTTAAAGAAAAGCAAATTGATTTTGTTTTAAATTACTTTAAGTAATAAATTCACTGCTCCTATTTTACATAACAAAATGTGATATTGACCTCAAACCTATCCTCGGAGCAAAATTTCGTTTATAATAAGAACAAAGATCCCTTGAGGAATAAAAACAATCTCAAATATTATTATGGAGTGAAATAAAAAGATTTTTGATGTAGCATGTGCCAATATCTGTGAAACATTAATTCCTGACTATGTTTATCAGATGCACAACAACCGATTACCTATCAGTCATATTATTATTTTTTTAAATTCTTCAATCTTACCCGATAATCACAGAATTATTCTTTATCGAAAAAGTATAACTCAACGTTTCAAAGCAGAATGATTCCATTTCAAATATATATCTTAATGTAGTAAATAAATGAGAAAATTAACAGCTGTCTATACTAATCTATATCATATTCGTGAATGACGATGCGAAATCTTTTCTATTGACTGTAGATAAAAGTTTGTTTTATCTATAGTCAATAGACGTGGACCGATAATTCCCTGGACTGAAGGGGGAGTCATATGATATAAAATGAATTTTTGCTTGATTGCTTGTATGTAGTATGGTGTAGGTGGGTAGTGTGGGCGTTGGTGTGCGTATGCTTATTGATTCAGCCTACATCGACACCCACACCCTTCAGATCGCATCAATTTACAAATATGTAATATAGAGGTTGAGCGTGGCTGAATCGCTCTGCTTATGAATGATTGCGTTTCTATTACCATACATTCAAGAATGATGTTGACAATAAATGACAGACTTTGTTAATCTCTACTGATGTTCACTAAATAGTGTTTTTCTTTCCAGATTGATTTTTAAATATTTCACTCTGTCAACAAGTATTCTCTGTTTCGCTAATAAATTTCATCTTCTTTCTTCAAGTGGTTATTTGAAGCTGTACCAAGTATAAACACAAATAATCAAACCAGAGCTGCCAACAGGCCTCCTTTTTGTCAGCCTGGCCTGGCTAGCCTGATTTGTCTGACAAGCCAGGCTAAGTTTCGAAAGTCAGCCTGCAGGCGCCTGTAGGCCAAACCAGGCGAACTAATGTTTCAGACTTTCTATTATTATAAAATTTACAAATTAGCATTAATCCATTGTATATATTTCAATTTGTGATCCGACTTGTTTTCATGAGAGCAATAGAATTAGTATGCCAATTCTCAACGAAGAGCATTCATGAATCAATCTTAACCCTTTACCCCCGACAGTAGTTTCCGAAGTGCTAAGGATGAAAGAACCGTTGCAATAGAGTATTGATGCCTCCAATATGCCAAAAATATGAACAGATCAATCAAATACTATCTTTCG